TCCGAGGATTATGGCACAGGCTATAGTATTGCAAATAGACAACCCAAAAGAGGTAAAACTGCCGTCTTATTTTAGATTTGCCTACACATTATTATGAAGACTCTGAATGAATATGCCTTATGCCATATTCTTTTCCTTTTTCTTTCTTTCTTTCTTTCTTTCTTTCTCTCTCTCTTTTTTTTTCAATAAACTAGACTTGGATGATTAAGATGATTGCTAATTATGCAATTCATTGTCTACAACTGTTAAATAGACAATAATTTGATGGTAATAGGAAGAACTGATAGTAATAGGAGTTCCTTTCATAGAATTTGTTATCTTTCCCTTTTTGTTCATAGTTTTCTGATATACCTTGAATATCTTAGTCAAAACCTTTCACTTATGTACTGTACCATGAAAGTATTGACTGTAAAATTGCGACTCGTCAAAGTATTTGTTCAAATAGGTACACTCCATGGAATCACATAAATTAAAAAATTAAAAGAAGTGACATTAGTAACTAAATACATAAAAAATCATTTTTTTCTAATTCCTTGGACGTACTTGGAGCTTATGGGCAAATACAAATCAATTTAGATAGTCCTTTGTGCTCATTCCTTCTTTCCATTTTTTTATGATTTTTTTTTTTTAAAAAGGTTTATTGAGCTGAATAATAAGACAGCTAATATTTCATGAAAAACAATTGAATTGTTACTTTAGAATCTATATATAATAATCATAAAATAAATATAGCGTATTTTGTATTTCAACTCTTAATATTGTTTTATGAATTCATGATTGCTTCTGTAAATTAATGTCAATTTTGTTCTTGTCATTGCTTGTGATATTTTTCAACATGTGAATATTATATCGCTACATCAGTTATTTGATTTTCTTCATTTATCTTTCTCAGGAATTGCTGCATAGGAAACGTATGTATCAGATATCTGAAGATAATCATAGCAGAAGAGAATTCAGAAATTTGGATTGTGAAATTCTTACATATCCCTCGTAAAGAAGTATCTTAACTCATAATGATATCATTATATGGAGCTAACCGTGTTCTTGTTCAAAATATGTGTTCAGAAAGAGCAGCTTCCTGGGATTTTGTGAAGATTTGAGGTTTGGTTTTTACGCACAGCTTAGGTTCCTTCATGATCATTCGATTGAGATGTAAATCAGATTGCAGGATACATTATCGAAGATCCATTGTAGTTAGCTTTTTGAGTCTCTCCATAAAGACAGTACCATCGGTTCAACCTAAAGAAGTAGTGGATTATTATTTTTTATATTCTTTTCTCTTTCAGTCTTTGTCAGCCCTATGCTGGCACGTATCCTAGTTTTTTCGACATTTCTGGAATTTGTATTTTTCCTAGAAATCGTATGTGAGCTTCTGTTTCATGTACCAGCCAGCGTGAAATATAAGAGGGATCCACCCACGTAGGTTTCCCTTCAATAAAATACTGAATATTTTGATCCGTTACTGTCGAAATTCTGTATTTGACACATTGAAAGTTCTATTTGTATTATGTCTTAAATTGAGTTTGTGTGTGAATTTATTTGATTGTTTACTGATGAAATTCAGAAGGTGTATATTTATCATCTAAAAAGTTGTGTTTTTGAAGATACCACTCAAAAGAACTTAAACTGGTGAACTTCGGTGAATTTCTTTCTTTAGGCAATTTTGGATCCTCTCTTAGGTTTGTCGATTCTCTCAAATTTCTTATCCTATTGAAGAATTTTGATCTTATCTGATATATATTTTCTCCAAAAGATCGAGAATACCCCATGTCGATTCATTGTTCTTATGAACTTGAATCATTTGCTGGAGCCTCGAATAAGTCTTGGCGGAGACATGAACACGAAGAGATCAATGTCCAAGAAAAAATTACAAGATTATGTCCCATTGCCTACAAGGAAAGAAGCCATCGACCACAAGTGAATTTACTAGATCTGCACGATCCAATTCCAAAGAGAAACGAACTTAATCAAGAATCATTGAATAACTTTTTAATGAAACTATCGATTCCAAGTTGAATATGGAACCATACTGTGTAGAATCGTTCCATGACCAAAGTTTTCAAGGAGGTAGCTATCCCACTCAAATAGACATAACTTTTATTTGTTCAAATAACAATTAAGGTGAAGTTGGATTAGAAACAATGAACCCCTTTGTGATAAACAAAATCATTTGCAAGTTCTTTATTACTGGTAGTTCCTACAAAACATCAAACTAATGATGTATAAACTTGAATTCTTGATGTAGATGCTAATATTTAGTTCACAATCTTGAGAACAAGAGCACACTAAAATGGTCGTTTTATGACCATCGAAAATGAATTAAATATTATGGTTCTATTTCTCAATCTTTGTGACTCATACATACGAAATCAAGATTGAAAAAATCAATCACTCACAAATACTATTAAAGGATTCCTTGTATTAAAAAAGATGATGATTTAACAAATCATAAATTCAAGACATTAATCCATTCAAAAAAAAAAAAAAACAACACTAACAAATTTTGAACACGAGATTCCATCTGAATACAACATAACAAAAATATTTATAACACAAATAAGTTGCATCTTGATATAAAATAGTCTAAGATTCATCAACATAGCGAATGATCAAAACGTAAATAATAACAATGAAACATAGGTGAATTAACCTTCCACCCTATTGATTCCTTACGTTCAAACGATCAAAATTACGTGGGGAAAAGAAAAGAAAAAGAAAAAAAAGATGTGAATAAATTAAAAGTAATAGAAAATAAAAGGAAATTAGTTAAAAAAAAAAAAAAAAAGGATTTTTTTCCCCCTGAAAGAAAGTTACTTTGTTCACCGACCATTTCCTTTCTTTCTCCCCCACCATTGAATTCTAATTCTTCGAATAAAAAAAGAAGAAAAGTAAACAAATTCAGCTCCATTTTCTCCTCTACAACCCGATATGAAAATGACAGAACATTCAAGAATCCTTTCGCCGCATACATAAAGAGGACAAGCCCGGTTGAACCGGCCTTTGTATATAGGACAATGCACTGCAAGCTTTTACTAGCGAGGCCAGTGCAGTAACGGATTTAAAGGGGAATAGTGGGGTCAACTGTCCCTACTTGAAATTTGAAAGTTCGAAAATAAGTGACCCCACTGCAATGTGAAAGTTTGAAGGGGAAAAATATCTTGGCCCTTCCCATTTATAATACATTCTTTTTTCTTCTCCAATAAAATAATATTATGCATAAATAAAAAAAATTTCCTTCTTTTTCAACCATACATTCTAAAAAAACACTACTTCAAAAGTTATAACATCAAATGATGGAAACCAAGCGGGGGGCTTAATTACAATCTACCCCCAACCGAGTAAAATTTCTAGTTTCGCCCCCCGGCCACGGCACCATAAACCAACCACAAGGGTGTTGAAGCAGTGTTTTCAGAGACTAGATCTTGTTCCCTTTTTTTGGAGCAGCACTCTCCAACGGCATCTCCTTTGGAGAGAGAGGAAAAAAGGAAGCGATTTTCGTTCGATTTCATTTCTGTTGATCGGCTTCATCAAAAGGTGTTACAATAAATGGGTAAAAGAATTTTTTTTTCTGTAATAACCACTTCAATACCCTTGCTTCGTAGACAGGATTTCGTGAATTGACCAGCTACTTATCCTGGGATTGTAGTTCAATAGGTCAAAGCGGGTTTGAGCCCGTCAGTCCTGATGGCATGTTCTATTTTGTAAGAACCAGCAATTACTCAGAGAAGATTAGTCACTCAGATGCAAACTTTTATGTAAAATTTTGGCCAGAAATGCATGTAGTTGAAAATCAAATGGGTTGTGAAATTATAAAGACAAGGGAAGAGCCATTTTGCCAGAAGAAAATGTCCAGTGCCAGAAAGGTATGTGTCGGGAGGTAATTTGATGCAAGAGATGATTATCTTTTTGAACTGATTGATGATAAAATACCACATGACATTATGTAAGCCTTTATGTCAAAAGTATGATATACATGCAGCATGGTCCGACAAGGGAATGTTATCTTGCAGCTATGCAAGCTCCGTAAATGATTCTGGACGGACGAACCCTTTACCAGTGGAGATGTCATCAAACAGCTAAAAGGAAATAATGGACGCTTTAGCCCAATGTGCTAAATCCTTCAGATATATCACTGAAGGTGAACAGTAACATACAGTCATTGGAAGCAGAGAGAACAAGATCCATGTTGGCAAAAATTCGAGGACAACCATCTCAAAGATATAACATGACCAACTCAGACAAAAAAACTTATTTCCATAAGAGACAATGTCATTAATCATCATCTAAAGCATCCCAACATACAATAACTGTGACCTATGCAATACACTTATGGCATGTTTGGTAAGGTTGATTGCATAATATTAGATGGTAACAAGAAATTAAAATCTTATTCATTGTATTGTTGAACTACCATCTAATATTGCACCAAACATGCACCAGTCAACTACCGTACCAATCATGCACATAATGTTTACTAAATGCATCAGTCTTGATTAGGATCATTATATCACCTGTGCACTCTGGAACATCAAATGAAAGCTCAGAAGAAAGCTCTACTCCCATAAAATACTCGAGAGCCAGAGTTATTAGATGTTGGTGTTTTCTGGTCCGAACTCGAATTGCCAGAGCTGGTTGGCTGGTTTTCAAAGTCTCCTGGAAGCTTCATCTTGGCCAGAGACTCAGTAAATTGCTGCATGCTCTTCATGTACATATCCACAAAGTCCTGCTGCACCACCTTCGGCTCTGGTTCAATGTTTATGGTGACAACGGGCTTTGCGAATGTATCATTTGGTAGCCCCCCTGACGCATTACTCTCAGCTTCTCCAACACCAGAACTTTTCTCCTTCCGATTATCTTTAGGAGGTGACACATATTCTTCATTGGGAAATTTTGAGTCTCCAGGAGTCTCAGAAGACTGCGAGCTCAAATGAAGTGAAGCAGATGGAGTTCCGTTCATTGATACACAGCCCAGAGGAGAATCATGCTTTGGGAATGGTGTCAAGGTGATGGTGTCTGTTGAGAAGCCTTCTTCAAGTTGAACACCTACCTCTGATGTTATGTTATTTTCATTTCCAGACTTGACCAGACTGTCTGAACCATGGGAGTCGTCCATATCAGTATTTGGGATCCCAAAATACTCGGAAACCATCTGATGATTCTCATTCACTACATTAGGATCTGGGAACTCAATTTTGTCAAAGTCACTCGGACAAGATTCTGTTGATTTCATGTCCTGCACAGCTGCATCTGCGGCCACAGATGAGGATGATGCAGGAATTGGAATCACTTCTGGTGAAGCTCCGGCATACAAGAGGGCTAACTGAACATAACCAGCTGGAGAGTGGAAGAGGTCAGTTGAGGAGAGAGAAAACTCCTTCTCTAACTTCCCGTTGTTAAGGAAGACTTCAGACAGAGGCACCAAAGCAAATCCCAAGAGTTGATCTTCGAGGTAATTTCGCACCCTGCTTAGCATCCATATCTCACATTTGAGGGAGGAATCAACTTTACG